AGGTGAAGGGTTTAAGGTTAAACCTACAACTCTGACCTCAGGAGGTTATATATTTGACTTTAAGTGACCCAATGTATTGATCCATTTATACTCTCCAGTTAATATGTCACCTGTCATCTGGTCGGGTTGTACATCAGTGTTTAATGACAGTTCAGTGGAGTGTGAGCTTTGAAATCCTCCCTCTCTAAACTTGGTATACCTCCAATAATGTGATCTTTTCCTCATTGTGCAGCTGCACAGATCTCAAAGCCTTCCACCTCATTTTTATCCTCTGTGAAAGGTAATTCTTTGTGCGTGATTGAACTTTAATTCATACTTTTTTTTTGCATAATAGCCCTTTTATCTTTTTACTTTATGGTGAAAGTTCACTCTTCTGTTGAGTTTGTTGTTAATATATTATGATCTCACATTGTTTAATATTGCATTATGCTCTCATTTTCAACAATATATACAGTAACTGAGAATTTCCATGATTATTGTTCATATGAAACTAGTTCATTATACAGTTATACATAGTATAGTAGTGAAGGCTTTTTTTGCATTTTCTTCTCAATATTGAAACGGACTCATATTGTTATTCTGTTTTCTCCTCTCATCTTTCGCCCCATTTACATTTTTTTCCATCTCACCATCTTTGCAGTGACTTTCTTCTTGCTCTCTGCTCCTTCCTCTTTATATCTGTCAGCTGGCTAAGTATCATGTGTTGTTTAATAGAATGATTTGTTGTCACCGAGTCATCTGTCATCAAAAGCTAAATGATGAAATGAGAGTGTGAGCGGCACTGTCTTGTCTGTAATGAATTATGCAGGGGGGGTCAGGGGCCTCTGTTTTGGTTACAGTCGACAGCACAAGCACGGACCCCAGGTAGTACACTCATCAGTCCTGCTGTTTCTCACCATATGGAGTCAATGAACTGGGACACCCCTCCTACACACACACAGGCACACACTTACATGCGCCTGCAGACACAATTTCATAGTAATACGATAGATAGATAGATAGATAGCCAACATCTGTGACAGATGTGATTATACTTAAGGCATATAAAATTATATAAGATCATCAACCATAAGTCCATAACACAATAACTAGTAAGTCTGTACTAGTAACAGTAACAGAGCCTGTCCCCATCTGATGGTCACAAGGTGAAACTGCTACTGAGAAAAAAAGTGGTCCAAAATAATAAAATAGAATAAAATAAAATTCTAAAACAAAAATAAAAAAGATCTTGATGTCCTGGATAAAAAATAGGTCTATATTGGTCCACATTTTTTCCATTTCTCATGTCTTTCAGTGTTTAATTGGATGAAACTGTTCACAGACAAATTGAATTATAAATTCCCGCCTCAGTACAATTGAGATATCTGTTACAGATGATGTGCAGTATAATGAATACCTAATTTATGTAATTAGACCATTAAGCATAATCCGAGCATATGTTGTAAATGTCCTGAGGTCTTCTTCCAGGTACTCCCTCTGATGTCACCCAGAAACAACTAATGGAGCGGTCTGCTGTGAGGACCATAATCCCGCTGTTTGACAAAATAAACAAGGAGAAAAAAAAACACACACCATATAATGATATCACCATTCATGTTTGCGAACACAGAGATTGATTCTTTGATTCGGATTTCATTATTCTGGGGAAAAAAGAAAGAAAAAAACATATTGAAGGGGCAGCATGTGAAGATGGCCTTTAAGTAGTGTGAGTATCCCGTCATATAGGCTAAATTTGCCATTGAGGAGGCTGCAGTGAGAGCCCTCTGTCTGCTAATTAATTGTCATTCTGCTGAATATTCATACCCTATCATCAGCGCGTCCTTAATTGCACCGTAAAACATCTCTGGGGGGCTGAAATCACCACGGACTTAATTAGCGGCACAGGCCTATTGGTTGGGTTTGGAGAGTCACAGTTTGCAGCAGACAGCAAACTATACATTGCTTCCCATTGAACGTGTGTTTAACGCGGAGGCTGCAGGTAGATGACAAATCCCTCTTAAGTCTACAGGCCTGCTAATGATAATCCGCGTGGCAAAAATTGAAACGACTCCAATAGAAAATTGCGGTAATTTACACCCATAATTCACCGGGATTTTAAATGTTTGTCTTAAAAATGCTATTTGTTCACCTCTAGCGAGTGATTTGTCTATTTATGGGTTGATTGGTGGCCTGGATACACACTGCCTGCGGTCAGAGCTGAATGCTCTGTAGAAAGTCCAAGATAAACTTTAAAAACAGTGATAGACGATTTCAAATCATAAAAATAAAGCCTACATTGATTTTAGAGTCCCCCAAAAAATATGAAGAAAAAAATGCATTTAAAGAGACATCCAATTTTAAATAAAAGTTGTAATCCGCATCAAATGTGCATTATTTGTACGCATTTTCAACTTTGCGCATCATCCCTTGAATGCGTGTTTTGCTGCGTAACGAGCACCAGCTTTAAATTTCTCTTAATCGTTCCCTGAAAGGCATTTTTTTCTCCCTCCTTCTCCGCAGGTCTGGGTGGCAGCATATCTCAACTCGATTCAGTGTGACAATATTGTTTGGCTATCATTCGCTGCTTTAGGATGAATGGCATCGATCCTCTTTTAACAACATTTGTTTCCTATTGTGTTCGGGGGTGCAGCAGAGGAGGGCAGACGTGTGAAAGTGGCTGTTTGATTCTCTTTTTCATCCCCATGACCTCAGCTTTTGTGTCTCGTCACCCTGGGAATGTCACGCCTCACTACTCTACTTTAAGATGTTTCAGAAAGTGCCCTTTGTTTTCGCTCCTCTTTTTTTTTTTAAAGCTCACACAAAATTGTTCTTGGTCCCCTCCTGCTATAAAGGATACTTCAGGCTGAGGCACGGTTCACAAGTGCAATGCAATTTGGCTTATCCCAACCTTTGTTCGGGTTTCTACAAATGACCAAACATAGTGCAGACTTGATCTACTGCTGCTTGAACTCAGCAGTTTGGGAGCAGCTAAAAACCCTATTCAGATTCAGAGTCATGGTGGTATTTTCAGTGTGTGCATTCGACAGGGACAAAAGGCCTACCAATATCCCATAACCCTGAAGCTCAAAAAGCCACACCGTCTGTGTGTGAGAGGAGAGAGGGAAAAAATACTCTTACTTCTCCTCTTGTGGCTCGGCTGGTTAATGCGATGTGTTTGCAGGTTAACTTGCAAAGCAACAAACTGGCTTGGCAGCAAGTTTGCAATGCAAACATGAAACAAATAAAGACATGGTAGACATGGTCATGCATAAAAAATAAAAATCCCAAATGATTTGCTGCGCGCCTCAGCATCAGCAGCGCGATTTTAAAAGCTCATATTAATCACATTTCACAATCATAATTATTGCACGTAACAAACTGTATGAATTACAAAGCCAACGCCTTGTGTGCACAGACATAGCAATCTGAATGAGAGCCAGCAATATAATGTGTATTTTTAATGTGTGAATGAATGAATGGGCTTGGATGTCAGAAGATGTTTGGTACTTGGCAGTGTGTTGTCATTATCCGCGGTGTTTGAGATGGGTCGACTGGGCCACTTCCTTTTGGACAAAACCTTTTCAGCTGAACATTAATGGGAAATGACAGGTGTTAAAAAGGCACTCTGCAGGGAAAAATAGTGAAACTGCAGCTGGAAGTTTCAGACTTGACATTTAAAAAAAAAAAAGTGACTTTTTTTTTACCAGTTTATATTTTTTTTTTTAATTTTTTAAAGCTTTTAGCACATTTACTATAATTAGATAATTTCTGCGGAATAGCCTTTTTTCCCTCTCCCTTTCTTTTTCTATTGATTCTGGGGTTTTAGATTGTTATACAGTCCTCATACAGCAGGGAGGACACTCTTCTTCAACCTGCTCCGGTTTCTGGGTGAAAATTGCTCGGTGTCCCCCGCAATGCGATTCTTTTCGTAATCCGTCAGACTGGTGATGGGGTGCATTGTGGATTTATGGGGGGAAATTAGCATAAATTATGAGCAAATCTGCGTGTGTGTGGTCCTTGGCATTGCAAACCCTCCAAGCGGAAAGGTGGCCCTGGCCAAAAGCTTGAATAGCAATAGCTCAAAATAGGCTTCCCATTTGGTTTTCACATTCATATAATTGACTTATGGATATTTTATACAGTTTTCACCACACCATCCTCAAGGGTTTATTTGCATTTCTGAAGTACTTTTGAATCTTCTTTACATAAACACAATAGAGCCGATTGCCTCATGAAGTTTCAGTTTGAATAACGTTGTTTGCGTTGTGTTGATGTTTTCATATCGTCTACTTCCTTTCGCTCAGCTCTGGGCGAAATTCGCTGAGAAAAACTAATAGCCGGCTCATCAACAAACTTGCTCATGGCTAATTATTTTGTATTGAATTCCGTAAACAATATTAGACTGTAATTAAGGAAGAAGAAAAAGCAACATGGATCTCTTTGCAATATTTTATCATGTAAAATCAGCTGACGTTTTCATTCAAATCCACACCTTTAAAACGGGTTAGCAGCATGCATGACACACTTTATGCACTGTACACACACCACTGCAGACAGGAGTATTTTTTAATAAATCCATGTTTAGATAATATACAATAAACATCTGCCAACAGCACAGGTCGTTAAGCCGATTTTATGACAGAAAATCATTCAATTACAAAAAGATAAATCATTTCCATGTTCATCCACACTCCGTAATATCTACTTGTGAATTGTAACTGTAAAGTCCGCTGAAGAAGTATTTAGCGCATACCTTCACACACTGAGTGCCATCGCAGTTCAATTCCGGTTGCCGAGCCTTTTCACCCCTTTTTCTGTCTTCAAATGGAAATGATTTCCATTGGCCCAAGGTGTCCATGTAAATAGGTGTAAATGAAACCAGATTATGCCTTCCTCCCAGCCCCCTCCTCCCATGGCAATTGTCATGTGATAGCAAAGAGGTGGCACATTAATGGAGCGCCTCTACAGGGGTCTTTTCTGCTCATGTCACTACATAAAACTATCAGATGGTTAGAGGAAGGCCATGGAGGCATCCACTTAGCTCGTCTTATCAAGGACGCCAAATGAAGTCTATTCAGCTCTGCTAGCGGGACAAGCTGACTTACTTTGCAAGAAAGACTTACATCGGCCGTCACTCCATAAATGTGCACCGTCCGCCCGCCTGCACACTGCAGAGGCGCTCAACCTGGCTGTTTTACGCACAACGCTGCTCCGGCTTCGCTTGTGTTCAAACTTTTCTCAGCGGTTGTTTTCATGAAGAGCGACCAGCGTTCGCCAAGGAATTAAGGGAGACTACTTTTTATTGCTTTTTTTCCTTCTTTCCTTTCCTGAAAATATCGAGGATGCCTCGTCCGGGGAGAAACACGTACAGCGACCAGAAGCCACCTTACTCCTACATCTCCCTCACTGCCATGGCGATCCAGAGCTGCCCGGAGAAGATGCTGCCTCTCAGTGAAATTTACAAGTTCATCATGGATAGGTTCCCTTATTATAGAGAAAACACTCAGCGGTGGCAAAACTCTCTGCGGCACAACCTGTCCTTCAACGACTGCTTTATTAAAATCCCCCGGCGCCCAGATCAGCCAGGTAAGGGCAGTTTCTGGGCTCTGCACCCCAGCTGCGGGGACATGTTTGAGAATGGAAGTTTCTTAAGACGCCGCAAAAGGTTCAAAGTGTTGACTTCATCCGATCACTTGGCTCCGAGTAAGCAATCGGATGCTGCCCATTACCTCCAGCAGCAAGCCAAGCTGAGACTGAGCGCCCTGGCAGCCACTGGCACACACCTTCCCCAAATGTCAACTTACAACCTCGGAGTGTCTCAGTCGTCAACTTTTAAGCACCCGTTCGCCATCGAGAACATCATCGCCAGAGAGTACAAGGTCCCGGGAAGTCTGGCTTTCTCCACCATGCAGTCTATGTCTGCCGGGTACCCGCTCCACAACCAGCTGACGACAGCATGGCCCCACATGTACAACACCAGCGTGATTGACACGGCGGCCCCAATCTCCATGGCAAGCGGCGACTACAGTGCTTATGGCATGCCCATCAAGTCTCTGTGTCACGGTGGACAGTCCTTACCGGCTATTCCTGTGCCAATCAAGCCCACCCCGACCTCCATGGCCGGTTTCTCGGCGTTACCTCCACACATCCCCGCGTTTCTATCAAACTCTCCACAGTCTCTGAGCCCGACGTCCCCACAGACAGCGACGAGCCAAAGCAGCCCCGCGACCCCGAGCGAGACTCTGACGAGCCCCTCCACACTGCAGTCTGTGGCTGTGCACTGACCAGCTCAACTTTCCCAAGTAACACGAACTGCTGGCTGGCTCCCAGGCCCCCCTTTTACCAATTCCAAAGTTTATATTTTCTGTCGTCGGAAACTATCAAGGCGAGTTGCAGTTGCATATCGATTTATTTGTGTATGTGTTGAATGTGTCGCTTTAAATTGTCATAGAAGTCCAGCACAGAATCGCACAGCGAAGTATTGCTCTTGAAAATATAAATTATTTGATAGTTCTATTTTTCAGTTTATTGTGAAATGTGAGTGTTGAAAGTGGAGCCACGGAGGGGAACCAGGGGAAGTTTGCTTTGGCACCATCAACTCTGATTTTTTAAGTGCTTGTAATTCCCGTGGCAGTCATTCAGTTTGATCAAATAGCAAACCTTTTGCACCGTTTCCGTGTGACCACTGTAATGTCAATGAAATTGCGAGGCAATGGCTCTGTGTTTTTGTTTGCTTTTAATACTGGAATGATGGGTAAGGGTATACCAAATAGGAATAGGATTTAGATTTGTTCTTACCATCCCTGTAAAAAAGAAAGCAAACTGAAATTTTTTCAAAATGGAAAACTAGTATTGTGAGACGTCCTCAAAATGCAAGATGTGAATATTGCAAATAACTGATACTGAAATGTTGTAAAATGCACTTTTTAGTTTTATGTTTTAGATATCTATTTTCCAGAAAATGTTCTGTGAAGCATTTTATTTAAAAGGCTGTGGTGACCATGTGTATCAGATGCTGTAAATTTGTACTTTTTTTTAGGTAAAGCATGCATTCTAAAAAAAATTGTGTTGTTACTGTTGTTGTTACTGTTGTTGTTTTTGTTTGTTTATTTTTTGCAAGCATGCGTGCTTTCGAAAAGTGTGCAAACAGTCTGCAATGAATTGGAAAAAAAAAAGCTGGTCATCGAAATATTTTCTCATTAAAAGTGAAGTAAACAATCAAAAATGTTTCCGAAGATTTAATCAAAGATAATGTCACGTATTATTATTATTATTATTATTATTATTATTATTACTACAGTATTACAGTTATTATTCAATTGGCAGAACATCTCTTTTCATCGAATATCAGTATATATTTTATTTTTTATAAAATTATTATTTTTTTTAGATTACTAATAATAATACTACAAATAATAATATTACTACTACTAATAATAATACTTTGATATGTCTTCTATCCAGACCTGTATGATTTCAGAGTGGGAGAGTTGCAGAGTAGCAGTGGGGAGAGAAATGAATCGTGCAGTCGATTAGGATGCATGGAGTTGCGATGCCATGGTCACAGCGCAGACAACTGGGCTCATTCATCAAGCTGTAGGCCAAACACAATTAAGCCCAACAATAAACATTAAGAAAAGCTGCACACAGTGTCCGAATTCATATTGTTACATATTCTCGATTTCAAAATGTTACAGAGGGAATTTATAGTGTCATGTGGATTTTTTCTTCCCTCCTTCCAGTAATGAGTGCAACCGACAATTTGGAGCGTTAACACGTTTTTCTGGAGGAACTTTATTCAACAGGTTTATATAAATACGGACAGAGAGATATCTGAAATAACCTGTGAAATACAGTTTTCTTTCTTTTATTCGATCATTTTTCAAAATAAAAATAACGCGCTTTATCTGCCTCCCCTATAGAAAGCAACAGCCTATTTCGGGGTATTAAACAAATACATTAGAATTCCGTCACTTTATGCAATCGAGTAGATCAAATAAAGGGTCTCGGGCCACTTCATTCTCCCTCATTCACTTGAATTGAAAGTGCAAAGAATAGCAAACTTAGACTGGGCCACCAATGTAGATTTAGCCTTTTTTTCAGCAAGACAAAAAGACTGATTTTTCACAAACACATTGCTGACTGGGGAACTAGGAAACGAGCTGCAAGACCCTTTTGGAATTTAAATCCACCCCTCCCCCATGGACTGTTTGGACAACAGTGTTAGTTTTTTGTTTTTTTTCCTCCCCACTTTGTGCATTTGTGTGTGTTAACATTAATTCTGACTCTGGGTGATTAAATGTATTGAAACTGCAACGCCAGATTACAAGCTTTAATTTTGAATCTGATTTTATTCTTTTTCAGGCTTGTCGTTACAAATACATTAAAACCACATTAACACACATTTGTAACTTTTTCATTCAGCACCTTGCAGCGATTAAATCCAGCAACAAATGTGTCGCATAAATGAAAAAAAAGTAACATCATAATATATATAGCCTACTACATATTTATTCTTGTGCAATCTTTTTTTTTAACTTGGATTTCAGTGAACTTTTGTCTTATTTGGTAGCTTATTTATTGCAGTGTTACAAGTGTCTATGTATAATATATAGATGAATGTATGAAAATAACTTTTGGGAATAAAAAGTAATTCATTTTAAAGTCATCCCAGAATGTGAAATCTGATAATAACCAAAGGTTTTTATTTGATGTATTAAATGCTACTTTGGATCAGAAATACAATATTCAAATGCAAATTGCATCTAAAAAAGAAAACAACAACCTGCCACCCTGTTTTATTTTAGGACAGTGCAAGGGGCTGAAATGCTGAACATCAATGGTATGAAGTCAGTCTAGAAAAACAAATTGAGGGCGTTATTAGCTGGCACTCAGTGCCTTTACAATTAAAGTGAACACCTTCAGCTTTTCCTGCAAACAATGTTCAAACAAACAAACACACAGAACAAATTAATTTAACAATTAAAAGGATAAAGTGTAAAACCACTGGCATTAAAAACGATGTAACAGGTGGGAAAGAGAGGAAACACTTACTAGACCTTGCCAAGGGAATCTCCTCTCTGACACCATGACACTCATGGAACTGAAATAAATAGTCTGGAAAACACATTTTTTTTCTGAATAAAACTCCTGAAACAATAAGAGTTTCTGACAGTACAAGTTTTTTTTTAATCTGCAAACATGGTCCCAGAATCTTTCCTCCTACTCGCTCCTGAGCCTTTCTTTCCTTCCGTAATACAAATAAAATCTGTTCTTGCCATTTCAGTCCATTATACATACAATATCTTCCACAGTTCAGCAGCATCAGTATGAACTGAACTGTTGTATAATCCAAGCCTGCATTGTCCTTGTTCTCTCAACTATGTTCCACTTAGACAAAGAAGAAGGTCATCTTAGGCAGGGGATGAAATATAGACCACATGCAAAACCCCAATGTTGTAGTTTAATTAAAATAATTCATTAAAGTGGAGGCCCTAGGTAATTAGCATGTATAATTTATGATTTGCTTAATGCATGCAGGCAGTGGCCTCCGCAATAAACTCAACTTAACCTCAAGTAGGGAGCTGATACGGACAGGGTGCTTTTATTTACTATGTGTTTATTGTTTGGATATTTGTCAGGAGGAAGCAAAAACCCAGGCAGTTATCTGGCTTCCACTGCACACAAACAACTTATTTGTTTATGAGTTTATCTTGTGGATTTATGCTCACTCATAAGAGAAGCTGTCAGATTTGTTGTGAAGGAGCGATATTGGGAATTGCCCTCAACTTTTTTCTTTTTTTTTTGGCATTTATGTGTTCACAGTTATTCTGCTGGTCACTAGTGTTGAAAATAGTCTATGCTGGATCTTTGAGCTGACAGAATGAGGACATGCACAAACACCACCAGGTAGCTCCTCTTCTCTCCCATAGCGACTGTCAGTGCTGACTTTTAAAAGAAGCAAAAAATAATCACTGATAGACAAAACGTGCATTAATTATGCTCTGCAAATGTGTCAATCCTTGACAAGCCTTTCACGTTCTGAAACGTGGCTACTGGCTATATTTTATTATTTCTTGCAAGTACATGTAGTTTTTATAAAAACAACAAAGTAAAACAAATATTTTCAGATGGAGCTGTGGACCATGGTAAACAGATTTATTTTAGTGGTAAATAGAGCAACATGATGACGGGTGAGTATGGAGCTACTGAATGAAAATCCTTAGTTTCAGACGCTTATATCTGACATACTATGAGTCTATCAAACCTGTTTGTATAAATCATACACAATCTACGGCTAGTAAATCCTAATATTCATAAGATTTTTTTTTATGTCAGAGCTCACTCATCTGTTTTATTTGACATCATAAATACAGTTTGGAAATAATCCTAAATCCTACAAGTGAAACTCCTGTCCTCGCAGCATCATAATGAGACTATATGGTTAAATCATCAGTCATAATGTGTGACTGCCAGGCTAAATACATTACATGGCTGTGTCTGAGGGCAAAGGGCAGGTATAGTGGGCAGCTGGAGGGAGAGGCAGGGGAATGCACCAGCATTCAAGGCTGGCTCAGCCAAACACCCATGTGTGCATGAAATTAGAGTGTCAACATCTGATTCATGCTGCTGGGTGGTGACTGTGAAACAAATTATGTCAGCGGGTGGCAGCGGCGAAATTCCACTGAGCTGCAGCAGACAGCGGCTACAAGGAAGTTACAGCAGGCCGTAGATTCTGTTTTATAACTGTGATGGAACCTTTTTTATGTGATAAATTTAAAGGTTCTCAGTTCTTATCCCAGCCCATCACAAAAATAAGGGGAAATATATTTTGAAGAGTTGTGCTTTCAGCCTATTCTTGAGCTGCCGACAGTGGAATTTAAGCTCTCTAATGGAAGTAGGTGTCGTAAAGAAGATGTAATGGTTCTGGGAAATGGGGTGATAATTGTTAGTGAAGATAAGGATGCATATTGTCACAGACAGGGTGTGTGAGGTGCAAATGAAAGACTCCCTGCTCTGACACTGTCAGCAACAAAAACAAGGTTTTAATGAATACAAATTCACATTCATGGAACATTTTTCCAAATGTAATTTTAAGTGGAAATACCTTTTTGCAAACAGTAATCCCTCCTCTGTTGCTCTGAATATTTCTTCTGTTTTTCCTGCTGTTACCTGTTTGTGTGGACTTTTTCCCAATCTGAATAGTGTCTTTGGTTACAGAGTGCCATATGTTGTACAGATTGTGAATCCCTTGGAGGCTAATTTGTGATTTTTAACTATATAAATAAAACCAACTTGACATTACTTGACTAACAACATTAGATTTATTTGGGTAGGACACTGGTTTCACAAAGCAGTGACAGTAACTCATATGTTTTCCAATAGGTGATGCAACACTATACCGCCTCCGTACATAGATGGATCTCCTGTTATTGGGTTCTGAGTGTGTGAAAGTGTAGGGCGGGTTGAGACAAGGTGAGACAACCAACAGAAAAGCATTCATCAAACTTCAGGCTCCAAGCTTGTCAACGTCAACCTCCAGCCATTACATTTGACTCGTGTAGACTTCATTTGATCATTAAAGTGGGTTCAGCAAATGGTTAAAATCCGTAGGAATTTGACTCTTTTTGCTGTGTCCATAAGTGTCTAATTCTAATGTGTTAATTGATGATGAACCCATTTTTATTCCCCAGTGTTTATTAGCATGCCTGTCAAGGGTGTGTTCTGAGAGCTATAAGTGTGCTGCTCTGTCGGCTTGTCCCGTCTTGTCTGGTAAATCTGTTGCACTTTCAGGGTATTTGATAATTCCATTGATATTTTTAATTCAAAGAAGCTAGTGTCTGACCAAATGCTTGTTTGTGCAGAACCTCAGTGTGGGAAGCCAACTAAATACAAACAAGCCGCTTTAATGAAGGTACTTAACAGATTTGACACTACAATGTTTTGGTTCTCAAGTGCTTTAGCTGTTAGGTGCTAGAACTGTAATAGATTCTGTGGATTTTAGCAGTCTGCTATTTCCCCTTTTAAATGTGGGACGAAAAGCTAATTCATCACCTTTCCTTGGGATCTTATCGTACCCTCTCCAGCCATAAACTAACACTTACACAGGACTTCAAAGGTGCACGAGATAGCAGAGGTGAGAAAAGGGGCCTGCATCCA